TAAATCCTACAGCAGCAATTCAGATGATAGTTCTTTCATCAGGAACTCAGAAGTTAAATCCTACAGCAGCAATTCAGATGATAGTTCTTTCATCAGGAGCTCAGAAGTTACATCTTACATAAGTAATTCAGATGGTAGTTCTTTCATCAGGAGCTCAGAAGTTACATCTTACATAAGTTTAGAAGGTTTAGTTCGCGATCCTGTCTTTCAAAAACAACTAAAAATTCACCTCAGTTCACTTTTCACGAATGAAAGGTATAAACCGTCTTTCTTCGGTACTGTATAATGTAATTTATTTTAAACCTACTGTATACATTCTGACGTGTGTTTCATATATTTGATTTTAAAACCAGGGAGACGGAGGGGGCCCACTCTCGTGTTGGCGCCAGGACGGAACGTACAGCTTAGCCGGGCTAGTGGGCTGGGGAGTTGAGTGTGGGAAGCCAGGTCTACCAGGAGTTTACGTACGAATACAGAAGTACCTTTCTTGGATTACCAGTATCACCGGAAAGTCGATTGAATCGTATTGGTCTGACTAGATGATCTAATTTATCAACCTGCAGGTGTCTGATATAATGTGAAGATTACTTACAGTATCCGTTCTTAACAATGTTACATACGTCACTCTCGCAACATTTTAATACTAATAAACATGTATACTACATCTAGTATTAACTTAAACCCTCCACAGTTATTGAGTACGTAAGAAGTATCTCTACACTCAATACGTTTACTGTACATTCTACACACTCAACACCCAGTCTGTACCGTACGTTTACTGTACATTCTAAAAACTCAACACCCAGTCTGTACCGTACGTTTACTGTACATTCTACACACTCAACACCCAGTCTGTATCGTACGTTTACTGTACATTCTCAACACCCGGTTAGTACTCTACGTTGTGTTATATTCTACACTTACTACGTTTACTGTACGTTCTCAACACCCAGTCTGTACTCTAGGTTGTGTTATATTCTACACTTACTACGTTTACTGTACATTCTACACACTCAACACCAAGTCTGTACAGTACGTTTGTTTTACATTCTAAACTTACTACGTTTCCTGTACATTCTACATTCTCAACACCCAGTCTGTACCGTACGTTTACTGTACATTCTATATACTCAACACCCAGCCTGTTCCGTACGTTTGTTTTACATTTTAAACTTACTACGTTTCCTGTACATTCTACATACTCAACACCCAGTCTGTACCGTACGTTTACTGTACATTCTACATACTCAACACCCAGTCTGTACCGTACGTTTACTGTACATTCTACATACTCAACACCCAGTCTGTACCGTACGTTTGTTTTATATTCTAAACTTACTACGTTTACTGTACATACTCAACACCCAGTCTGTACCGTACGTTTACTGTACATTCTACACACTCAACACCCAGTCTGTACCGTACGTTTACTGTACATTCTACACACTCAACACCCAGTCTGTACCCTACGTTGTGTTATATTTTACACTTATTACGTTTACTGTACATTCTCAACACCCCGTTAGTACTCTACGTTGTGTTATATTCTACACTTACTACGTTTACTGTACATTCTCAACACCCAGTCTGTACTCTACGTTGTGTTACATTCTACACTTACTACGTTTACTGTACATTCTCAACACCCAGTTAGTACTCTACGTTGTGTTATATTCTACACTTACTACGTTTACTGTACATTCTCAACACCCAGTTAGTACTCTACGTTGTGTTATATTCTACACTTACTACGTTTACTGTACATTCTCAACACCCCGTTAAATGTCTACTGCATCCTGTACTCTCAACATATTTTTTGAAACATAATATCTTTTACACATTTTACATACTAAATTTTCAGTGCAGCACCACTTAACATCCGTGTCTAGTGTCTTAACAAGTTCCTGTCAATTATGCTAATGTGAGTTACATTTGAACTACTTTCGGTTACAGAGTTTGACCTATTTTATACATTCTACGATGATATGTGAACATAAAATAAAAGTGTTTCAATAATTATAGTTCCACAACACACTGTTTCTCGGGTTTAATGTTTCTTAACCAAAGTTTATCTTTATAACAATCAGAAGATTTTTTTTTCAACGAGACTCTGCTGGTTTTTAATAAGAACTCTGGTCAAAGACCTAATTTATCTTATTAAAGAGAACCTACCATCTGAATTACTTATGTAGGATGTAACTTCTGAGCTCCTGATGAAAGAACTATCATCTGAATTACTTATGTAGGATGTAACTTCTGAGCTCCTGATGAAAGAACTACCATCTGAATTACTTATGTAGGATGTAACTTCTGAGCTCCTGATGAAAGAACTATCATCTGAATTTTGTCGTTATAAGTGTCCAGTGTTACAACTGTGGTCAAGATTGATGGAAAAGTCAGTAATGAAAGAGAACTAAGGTTAAGTAAACAGAAACAAACCA